TGGGCCCCAGGTATCGGTATCTCACAGGTTCCTGGCATCTGGATGGTTCAGGTATCGGTACTTATGCTCACATGTATCGGTACCACACTGCTTGTGTCATGCCCCAAATTCCACAAAAGCGTGATTAAAAAAAATTACTCTGTTTATTCCAAAAACACATGTCGGTTTATTGAAAAAAATATCTAGAAAAGTATATCTTTAGTTTAAATAAATCATTTTTTTAAGAAAATTTCGGCAGAGTTTTCTTTGAAAATCGGGCATCTAGATAATTTGTGAGAGCTACCTATAAAAGCATTAAACATAATAATTATATCTAACTAGTGATTCACATCATATCAATTATATACATCTCTTCTCACGATATCCACAAAAATAAGTCATTACCGTTCAATACTGGGGTGGCAAATGGAGGCCCTCAAAGTCCTCCCAAACTCAGGTTATAATCTAATTATCCAAAATTCTTTGTCATGAACATAATATATAGAATATTTAAAATCTTTATAAGTAAACCATTTAAAAGACCTCAATCTATACATATTCCCTAAAATTAACCAAGATATAAATCACTTACAAATCCTCAATAATACACATCACCGTACGTTGTTCTTTACATCCTCTAACTAAATATATAAAAATTATAATGATTATCTTCTACCTCGATACTCCTACTATACAGTCCACAAATATATGCACATAACTAAAAATGTTAAATGATAGAGGTGAGCAACCACACACTTAGTAGGATAATCCTTTTCTCAAGTATTTACAAAGTTTTAAATACCAACATTTCACAAACCATACAAATAAGTAATGAAAACTTTCTATAATTTAGTATAGGAACAAGATAATAAGTAGAGCATTTATAAAAATCTCCCAACACATCATCACTAGAAATATAAAATGTGTAAATTAAAGGTTTATACATTTTAAGTCAAACTATCATAGCAAATATCATGCATGCCTCGTATACGGACAATATAATCAATCACACCAGTTCACACATAAACCATCCCCAGGAACCTTTTGGGTCTTACACCCTAGGGTCTCATCGCCCTTCTTACTTTTCAAAGTGAATGTGTAGAGTACAACTTGTGACGTCACATAGGCCATCACCGAAAACCACTACCATAACCAATCCCTCTTAAGACTAGTAGCTGCCTTGGCAACCCACTCAATAGGCCTCAATCGTCTACTAACTCTCTGCCTGTCAGTATCGAGCATACATTTTTCAAAAATCATTATTTTTTATATCCATAAATCCTTTTAAAAACACATGTCATAACCTTGACATTTTATCAAACATGTAGTAGACTCAAATCTCAAAAGTTACATTTTCAAAGCAACCTAACCATTTCCAAGAGAATAAGCCATATATATTATGTACAAAATCATAGCATACTTCAAAACCCTCAAATCATAGGTTTAATCAAATATCCACAGCTAAAATCAAAGTAGAGTTTCAAACCCACAACACTAAAATTATTTCCATTTTCAAGAGAATAAGTTATATTATGTACAAGATCATAACATACTTCAAAATTCTCAAATCATAAGTTTAATCAAATACTCATAACTAGCATCAAACTAGATTTTCAAACCCACAAGACAAATTATTTCCATTTTCAAGGGAATAAGTCATATATATTATATACAAGATCATAGCATACTTCAAAACCCTCAAATCATAGGTTTAATCAAATACTCATAACTAAAATCAAACTAGGGTTTCAAACCCATAATACTAAAATCATTTTTATGCATGTAAGTTCACAATTCATGACATACTCAACACTAAATCAAGGTTTATAACAAGTATTTTACTGTCAAACACATAATAAGCTTTAGCTAAAAGAAATACATGAGATACACAATGTAAATGCAAGAGATAGGAAAATCTCACCTAGAAATCAAGAATTTCAAGCCAAGTTCTTAGGATTTTCAAGCAAAATCCAAGTTTTAGAGATCTTCTTCTTCCCTTTTCTCTTACCCTTTATCTTCTCCTAGGATTCTAAGAGATTTTGGGTGAGAGTGAAATGAAATAATGGAAGAAAAGGGTTAAAATATGGGCTTTAAACCCAGCAATCTCGAAATTTACTGTTCATGGGTTGAATTTTGGATTTTCTCCAAAATTACGGTTTTACCACTAAAAATCTCCAATTTTATCTATTTGACTATCGTAAGGTTTTTTGAAGTTTTGTATTTATTTTTAATGTTTTTTTAACCTAAAAATATTTATTTTTATGATTTATCTCAAAACTAAAATAAATTTACACTCAAAACACTAAAATTACTATTTTATCCCTCTGAACTACTATAGGTGCTAAACGACTATTTCAAGTTTTTCGGACTTCCTAGATTCAATGATAATATTATTTTGACCTAAAAACATTAATATATTTACATAGTTACCCTTATCAATCTTAAACACCTCCAAAAATTAAATTTGACCCAAAAGTCAATACGGTCATACTTCAAACTTACGCGACTATTCATTTAACAACAATTCGAAGTACCCCTCATCATTTTAATTATTTTGAAAATATTAACATGTTAATATAATTTATATTTAAATGAAACATAGGATCTCATAGCTTGTGGGCCTAAGTATCGGTATCTGGCTTCTAGAGGGCTCTGATACCGATACTCCTTATCATCAGAACCTGTACCTTTTCCCTAAACTTGATTCTTTTTAACTTCAACGCTTTTGAGCCTTCATATCTTGAGCTCTTTTCTTTGGATGATATGAATGGTTAAATTTTAAATCCTAGACTTTGGGATATGTACCTTGAAATGGTCGTATGATTAATGTATGCACAAGTTATGTTTTGGGTAGAGCTCTATGCAAAAAAAACTCTGTCCAAATTTTATTTTGTTATGATCCTAGTGAATGAAGTGTAATGACGGGGTATCGGGTTATACAATGTCCATAGGTATTCCATGGGTTGATGGGTGATCAACAAATTAAGAAAGAACCCCTAGATTTTAGGGCATCACATTTATAGACGTATCTTGTCTTAGGAATAGTATATTAGGCCCTAGTCTCGAACCTACGTGAAAAAATAGTGGTTGACCCTCGAAAGAAACCAAACCCCCTAGGAAAACCTTTAACACTCTACAATACGTGTTCAAGTGTAATCCATGTTCATCACATTCACCCATACAAGAAATAATAACAACACTTTTCCACAAAAATCACGTATACCAAAGTCCACAGTTTACAATTCTCAAGTAGAAGAATAATGGAAGCAAAACATGCGACAGTTCGTAAAAAGAAAGCTTCATGTTCACAATATTCAAAATCTATGGTTTTAATCAAAATATGTGATTTTTCGATGTAAAACATCTATTTCTATATAAATCATGTGTTTATTCAAAAGGAATATAAAACGTTGAAGATCTATCACATACATAGGACTGTAAATCAAGAACTAGAATATTTTCCAATCAAGAACGAATAGATCTTGTGCATAAATCATGTATTTTTCAAGAACTAGGGTTTCTAACAAAAGAACGAATGCATTTTATAAGTAAATCATGTATTTTGTTCAAGAAACGAATAATGGATTCAAACGAATGTAAAAACATTGTAGATCAATTATTTATATCATAATAAGGATGAAAAAGATATATTATATAGCCATAATTATCAATGAATGAATCTGAAAAAGAACTCCTACCTTGATTCGTTAGATCTTAATACTAACGTGTTTTGTTGTGTTTTCACACGTAGAGCCCTCAAAATCTTTCCCTACTACCTTTTCTTAACTCTTCTTAGTCTCCTAGGATTGAAAGCTACAAAAATATAACCTAAAGGACACCCTTAGGGTATTTATACGCTGAAAAACAGAGAAAACCTTAAAAACTAATCGCTGTTATTTTTAGAGAGGCATTTGGATGGTAGTATTGGTACCCAGATGATAATTACTCCTAGTATCTCCTCTCTGTCAGAACTGTAGTTCTATTTTTGGGGCATCCAGGCGGTGGTCGCGTCCGAACAGTGACAATTTTTTGTCCAGACTTTCGACTTGATTTTGACCTAGTTAGAAGTCAATTCACAAAAATTCCATTAAATACACTTTTTGTAGCCTTGAAGCCTACATTATACTGTCCATAAATCAAATCAATCAAATATCACAATAAAAAGTTATGGCTAAAATAACAAGGTAGTATTAAATTTCTTTCTATCCGAATTCTCTCCAAAAATGTGTTTTAATTCTAGAATACTTTTTTAGCTTTCTAATACACCCCATATCACATCTCTCCACAATTTCTCAACTTTTTGAATTAAATGATGGTCTTATTTTAACTTAGAAACATTTAAAAATGTACCTATCCATACTTCTCAAGTTTAAACAACTCTGAAACTAATTTCGACACAAAAGTTACTACTCGCGAAACCCAAATTTCATGCTTAATCTTTCAACTACAATTCAAAGTTTCTACCATCCTTTTGTTCATTTTAGGATAAATCTTAAGTTGATATTATCTTTATTTAATTCTAATATGGGTCTTACAGAATCATGTATAACCGATATATACACAAGTTGTGTTATGTATTTCTTTTGATTAACTACACTCATACATAATTCATTTATTAATCGTGTTGTGTCAAGTCCACTTATTTATGAAACTAATGGCTTAAAAAAGACACAACTCTAATTTTGTATCGTGTTCGTATCATGTTAACAAATTATATCATATTTTGACACTCCTGTCATTTATACTAAAAATGAAGGACACGTCTTATATTTTCTCCAATGAATTGAGATTTAAGCATCCCTTTGTGCACTCTATTCAACCGCCTTTTTTTATTAGATCAAAGTGATTCAAATTAAATATTTGATAAACTAAACTAAAAGATTGGGAATTAAATGAACACAAAGCGCATAATTGGGTACTAAAGACATATTTTGCCCTTTTTTTGACCAAACTCAGACTTTTAAGTCACAGGATAGGTAGCACAATTTCAGTGACAAGCATAATTAGTATTTACAAAAATAGCTTAATTTGAAATGCAAGAGTTTACTGAAATGTATCACTTCTCTGTCCCACGTCAGGAATCATTTAAGGAAGAAGTTTTGTCATTGACCCAAAAGCAAACAAGAATGAAGGAAAATTGAAGTGCGAGCGAGAAAGAAGGAAAATTGGACAAGAAATAAAAACTTAAGACTTGCTTAGAAATAAAACCAGATCCACACGAAACGAAAACACAAACAAAAAATAGATGGTGATGAAGGATCTTTGCATATGAGTTCTTACTAATAACCATACGAAAAGGAACTGGGGATCGAGAAAACTAAAGACATTAACGTCCGTTGTGCTGATAGTATACTGTCTAGGCACTGTGCTTGATAGGTTCATCAGCATCATAATCAGTCGCAGGCACATGATCACGCCCAGCTTTACCATCCACCTCCACTTCTTCAAAGTAGTCCTCTCGAGCATTGTCAGCTAACATCAGAGAAACCAACCAGAAGAGCGACGAATCAAGAGAAACGAAGGCACCTCCACCGAGAAGACCCGTCTTAGCAGTTGGACATTTTGTTTCCAGATCATGATGAACATTGCGTTTCAGATGAAGTTGCTCAGTGATTGTAGGCCATAACAGCAATGTTCCAGCCAATCCAGCCGTACCCCTGTAATTCCAGCATTTCTTTCAGAGATTAATTGATAAATAAAGACAAAAAAGTAAAACTGAAAAAGGAAGCAATGCAAAAAGAGATCAACCTTTAAAGCTGTGAACGAATTCCTCATAGTAGATACAGTACTCCATATAATTTATAAACTATCAACTCATTGAATGCAGCATGTAGATAATATGGTTTGGGTTCTCCAAACCCAAGTTATTCCTCTATTCTCAAGGGCAAAAAGCAATAACTTTTTGATAAGTCAGCCTAGTAGAGTCCATATTGTCACCCGAATATCATGTTTTCAAATTTATTCTCTTTTCCCAAAGCTGATTTATTTTTTCATGCACAAGCCAACAATAACTTGCTTACCAAGTTCCAATACAATGATTTATGAACTTTTAAGTCTGGAATTCTTACCAATAATTATTGGGTTCTTGTTTAGACTTTTCTTGTGAAATCCACTTCAATTACCAATTTAAGGGTGCATTCCCATAGAAGTGAGCATCTTCTTGGCTGGGATGGACTGGGAAAAAATAAAAATAAATGCTCAAAGGGTCATTTTTAAAATCTGTGTAGTACTGGATTAAGTTTCCTCTACGATCCGATGGATATTCAACAACATGCAATAGACCACAGGTAATCAATAGTCGTCCAACTTTTTCTTGCCCAAGTTCGTTTTAAGACGAGCATGACTATCATTCACTAGTTTATCATTGTCAACAATGACAGCAAAGTTTCTTCCTCTCGAATTCAGAGGCAAAAAAAAAGTTTACTAACTCATAGACATCACAACTTTTGTTACCCATAAATTATGTCAGCTTGGTGAACAAATATAATTGAATGCTTGGCAGACTTTACCTTAAAAAGGTAAAAGATAAAATCTATTCCTCTTTAAATTTTTGGCAACTTAAAAGAGAGAGAGCATGCTTGAGAGTAATGTTAAAAGAGTTTAAAAAGGCACACTTACAGAGCAATATTGAAGAATACAAGAAAGCTAGTGCTTCGGAACAAAGCAGCCTGTGGAATGGACTTCCCCTTGTATGGGTAAAACAAAGACAAAAATCCGGCCACAGTAGAGGCAACAAGAAATGCAAAGGATAGAAATCCCAAGACAACACTGGGATCAGATGGATACTTGCAAATAACAACATTTTTCCCAGTAATTGGTTTTGGATTTCCCATTGCAGGCTGTGATATCCAATACAATAAAAAAAATAAAGAGCAGAAAACAGAGAAAGAGTCAGATGGTAGGCTAGAAAGTACACAGCTGTTGGAATGAAGGAGATGTAAAAATGAACAAATTTCCAAAGATATGCTTTATCAATTTATTCCCATTTTTCTCTTTTTTTCATAAAAACAAGGGAAAAGGAAAATGCAGCACCTCTGGATCCATTTATGCTTTTTGCAGTTTACTAGATTAATTCCATGCAATAATACACTAGGGAAATATCAACTAAGCTATGTAGGCCCTCAAACAGTAAAAATAAAGGCAAACAGTAGAGGTCCTTTTATGAAGTTATGAAAACTAAAACATATATTCCGCCAAATATACTCAAACAATCAAATGATAGGGATCATACAGTGAGTGCTACATAAATTGGCCACCACAGGATGAAATTAAATTGTGCAGTTGGATCCAAATATTGATAAGACATGTGCATACACAACTAACATGTTTTAGGCTCAAAAGCAAAAACAATTATGCCAAGCTGACGCAAAATTACGTGGGAGCCATGAATCGTACGTTTAAGATAAAATGGCCTTTTAGTTTACATTTATTTTTAAACTAACTATGTATATGAAGGGTATCATTTATTATTTTCATATAGAAACTTCAGTTCAAATATATTCAAGCCAGTAGTTAAAAGTAAAACTGAATACACTGTAAATGTTATAAACATACATGTATGGATACACACACATATGCTAATTCAATCCAGTCTTGACTTCTTGAGTCAATCAAGTTTCTGCATAACTTAAGATCAGAAGAGGAAGAATAGATAAATATTAGCATTAACTTAAAAGTAGAAAATAACCTTCTTGTTTTCGGCGAGAACTCCAAAAATGAAGGATAATAAACCAAATATTGCTACAATCAAAGACATCTGTTTGGTAGTAAATTTCATCGTGCCTACAAAGTTCTAGATTAGCCCTGCGAATTAAAACACAGAATTTAGAATCAACAACGCAAGGAATGAGCGCAAGGGCAAAAGAATAAACAATAAAATATAGGCAAAGAAGAAAAAAGAAATATTGAGCATAATTGCCACCAAAATTTTCAGTAACATACAATAAGACGCACAAAATATTCGTTATATAAACAGGAATGATCAATTACAATATCGATTATACAAAAAAGAAGGGAACCGCCTTGATAAATCTCAGAGAAATTATTCGTATGCTGTTCCATCACAATAAAATTAAAAAGTCCACACCATAGTTATCAAATCGTGTATCGGAAGGCGTATCGTAAGATACAAATATTGTATCGTATCGTGTATCGTATCGTGTATCGTAAGATACGATGCAATTTTAAATAAATAATAAAAAAATATATATACCTTTGAAAAAAAGTCATACACTCATAAAAAATATAGCATTTCATTAATACTCCACCAACTATTCAAGTTATCAACATAATCCACTACTATTATAATGCAAAGTTCACAACCATAGTTCACTAATTCAAACTTTAAACACCAAAGAGACTTCTAATCCAAATTTCTAACATCCATTTTGAACTCAATCTTCAATTTCAATTGAAAATGCATCATCATCATCATCATTGTGATCGGATGCCAACAAGTCTTCACTTGTCGTTTTTTTTAAAAAAAAATCAGAGCAAAAACGACGTCATTTTTAAAAATAAAAAATAAAAAAAAAAAAATAAAAATAAAAAATTGCACGTATCGTGCGTTTCGTACCGATACGTATCGTATCGTAAAAACGTATCGTGTATCGGACGATACAACGCAAAAACGATACATAACTACGATCCGTATCGTTTTAGGACTGTATCGTAACGTATCGTACGATACGTATCGCGTATCGTACGATACTAACAACTTTGGTCCACACCCCAACAAGGGAGAGTGATGGGAGGAGTTCAGAGACCTAATCCCTAACAATTTTTACACTAAAGTGGCAGCCCTCATTCAAACTCACATCTCCTTTTCATAACCCTTTTTTGTGGCCAACAAAACACAGAGAATATCAACTCATAAAGGAAAATTATCAAACGGGTAAGTAAATATTTTACAAACAGTGAAAAATATCATTGGAAAATTATGAATATCAACTCATAAAAGCAAATTATCTAACGGTTACTCTGAATCATCAGCAAAATTTTTACAAATAGTGCAAAATATCATTGGAAAATAAAACATATAATCACTGGGGCCATGTTTGAAACAGAACGTATCTAAAGATCATCAAGACAGTCATTACAGAAAAACGATGATGAGTTAAATATTATTTTTGTTGGTGATGATACGCACAGAAGAGAAATTGCTCAATAATTGATGAAATAGAGGCGAACCCAGTACTTTGTATCAAACAATATTGAAGGAATATGATTGTACAAGACAAATCGGAGGATCAATGAATCAAATCGAAACAATTAACCAAGAACAGACACGTATAAGAATGCACCTGTGTGGAGGAAGGAGATCTGTGAGGTAAATTCACTGCCCTTAAAAAAGAATCTGCCAATCAATCAAAGAGTCTGATCCAATTTCAAGGCTTGTATAGAGTGTGGGGGTATGTTTACAGGCGATGCTAACAAGAACGTAAAAGATAAGGACGAGAGTGAGGCTTGACTTCTGAGGTGGTCTCCTTGTGTTATTCAAACTGCATTCCACGAGTTTCTCCTTAAGCCACGCACTCTTGGGTATAGGCTACCGTACCGCCGTGGCAATGTTTGTCATTGATTTTAAGTGGATTTCAGTAATAATGAATTCTTGACCAAAAAAAAGAAAGAAAATAATAATGAATACGATTATTTAAAACAAATAAAATTTTTAAATTTTAACTATTTAACCCAAAAATTTCATTCTAACATATTATCTTCAAAACATTTAAAATAACATGTTACTACAGTTATACTCTAAATATTTAAAGTATCACTGTACTAATATGTAAAAAAAATTTATAATATTTTCTCTCTCTTCTTATCATTTCTTCTATTATCTTTTTCTCGCTTTCACTATTTTTTAAAAAATAATACAAAAAGAATAAAAAATAATATTTAAAATAAGTAGTTAAAAATATAAAAAATCTGTTAGAGTGTTTATTAAAAAAGTGAATAGTTAAAATAAAAAATATTGTTTTTTGAGTAGTTAAAAATTTTTTTGTTTTAGGGGATGCTCTAAATGTATCGAATCTTGCTCTAAATTATGTTTGAATTTCAATTCGATTACTCAAATATATAACTTGATATTTCTATGGATAATTTAAATCCCAATTTGTTATATTATGTTTAATAGATTTTTATTTTAATATATCAGTATCCAATCAAATTATAATTCACTTTAAATTATAAAATTTATATGTATATAATATGATGAATTAAATAATTATTTGATAAAATTATATTTAAATTTAAATTTTATTTATTAAAATATAAACTTAATTTAGTTATTTGTATCGGATTGAATAGTTAGATTAGATATCTGATTTTTAACAAATTTGAATATGGACTATAATTGTAAAATTCGTTGGCCAATTGAATGGAATTTGAATTTAAATCAATTAAAATTCAATTTAATTCTGATCTATTAGCCGACCTAATCTATACATTATTTATAGCATTATAGTTGATATGCATGATTTCTAAAACCCCATCTCAATTTTTTAAAAATTTTTATTTTTTAAATTATTAAATTTAATTTAACTTTATATCATTGGCCTCGTTGAGATGGCCACAAAAGTCCAATTAGATCCCTTCCCCTATGTCCCACATGGCCGTGTATGAGCCATTGCCGTTCAATAATGATAAAATTTGGTAATTAAAGCCCCAAAAATTATGGCCATAAAATTTGTCTGCGAAGAAGTCCTAATGTTAACATAACTGTAACGCCCAGTTTCACATATAAAGGCATTAACTAACAATACATCATTTAAGGGTTGTTTGATAACGACATTTAACGCTTAAAACTTAATATCTTAAACACTTAATGAATCAAACTCGTTTTATAACTTAAAATTTATATAACTTAATATTTTAAGCACTTATTAAAAATAGAGTAAAATTATAAAATAACAAGGTGGTGTTTGATAAAGTTGAAAATTAAACTCTGAATTTTAAGTGCTAAATTTTGAATTTTTTTAATTCGTAGACTGTTTGGTATCAATTGAAATTTAAATATTGAATTTAATCAAACTGTTTGACAAATATAAGGAGTTGAAGTTTGAAAATTATTATTATTTTAATTTTTTCCTTATCTTTAACCATCTCTCCGCAATGGTGGTGGCGGCGATGATGATGATGATGGTGGCATAATGGTAACGATGACGACAATAATAGTGATAGTAATAGTGGCACAATTGTAATGGTGGCGATAGTGATGGTGATGGTTATGGTGATGGTGATGGTGATGGTTATGGTGGTGGCGGTGACATAATAGTAGTGGCGGTGGTAGCAATGATAGTGGTAGTGATGGTGGCGGTGGTAGTGGCAGCGACAGTGGTGATGGTGGTGGCAATGACACAATGGTGGTAATGGTGGCGGTGACATAATGATAGTGGCGGTGAAGACAACACAATGGTGGTGACGATGATGGTAGTGACGATGGTGGCGGCAGTGGTGGTGATGGTGGCACAATGGTGGTGGTGGTGGCTGTAAACCCTACCCTTTTATTTTTATATATGTATGTAGGTTTATATAGCAAGTTATTATTTCTTTTAGAATTGTTAATAGGGAAATTCGAGAAAACAGTAGATAAAACTTAGTTTAACTTACAAATATGTGAAATCGGTATAATAAAACTTGTACCAACTATGTTTAATGTACAAAAGCATGTTGGATAAGCTTGAGTTGGATTTGGAAAGGTTTGGAATGAGTTTGAAATGAAAAATAGAGGAAATAGACAAATTTGGATAGGACTTACAGGTAGTACGCTGTCTAGTGGATTCGAATTATCGGTAGTCAACAGATAGTAAAAGTCTAGTAGATCCGAACTACCGGTAGCTCAACAGGTAGTACGCTGTCCCGTAGATTCGAACTACCGGTAGATAGTTAAAAAGCCCGAATTTTTATGTTTTAAAACCCCATTTTCACTCCATTTACTCCCATTCTTTCACATCACTCTCACCCCACACCTCTTAGAACCCTAGTAGAAAGACTTAGAGAGGAAGAGACAAAGGGAAAACAAGAGTTTTAAGGGTGATTCAAGATCAAATCTTCTTGTCCTTCACACCAAAGCCAAGGAGAAAGGTAGGAGGATTTTCTTCCATTCTTGTCCATTGATGGTAGGGCTATGAAATCATCTTTTTCTTGGTATTCTTGCAATTATTGTCATGTTTTACACAAGTTAGGGGGTGAATACCCATGAAATCTCTTTTCTTGCTCTAAAACCCTAGTTTTTTGGAAAGTGGTGGATTTTCTTCTTAAATTCTTCCTTTATAATTGATTTTGAAACTATAGTGCTTTATGTTGAGTAATAAAATGATGTTGTTGTGATCTCTTGTATTTTTCTCAATTGGTTTTGGAATTGTCACATGATAAATTGGAGATTTTTGAGATATGTTTGTAAATTGAGAAATTGAGTTTGGTATTGTATCTCTCATGAGTGTGGGATGACCATGGGTGGCCTTTGACGAGATATCATAAAGTGGATAGACATTATTCATAGTTTGTGTGGGTTTGAACTTTTCCTACCACTCGTAGTGGGGTTAGTGCTTTGGTAAGACTAAACCGTTATTGTTCACAGGTATCGAGGCGGAGGGTTAGTATACTAATACCTGGGTTGGAAATGTCACTGTCATTGGTATGGTATACGCCTTTCCTAAAGGTTGTATATCTTTGAGAAGATTTGGGTGTGTGTGTGTGGGCTAGATGTTACTCAATGCGTTGACTCATGTGGATGCCTTACATTATGGTTGAGATACATGTATATATTGTTGTGAAATGTTCAAGTTATGAATTATTGTTTATTCTACCAAAAATGGTTTCTACAAAATTCTTGGGAAGTATGGAATTTCGCAAGAACTTGTGAGAAACAGTTTATAGTGAAAAGAATTATTAATTGTATATTGAGTTCTTTTATTCATTAAATTATTGTTGTTATTTAAACTTGAGATCTGTTTCAAATGTCCCTGCTTTTCTTCAAAAGTTATATATGCTATTTTTAATATGAGACCGACCATTTTAGATGCTTTTTTAAACCTTGTTCGAGTTTGGGAGGAATGTTGTTACAAAGCTTAGTGCTCACCCCCCACAAACTATATTTTTCAGATTATGTACTGGAGGAGGAGTTGAGAGTAGATGAACCGGAACACTGGGAGACTTCGATAGATGGGAGCGTGAATCCCAAGGTGGACGCTTAGAGTGACACTGTCTTTTGTTCTAGACTAGGATATTTATTTTGAACATTGTGAAGTCTAGTTCTTCTTTTGGAATTCCGCTGCAAGTTTAAATGTGATTCTTTTGGGGATGTAATGGTTATGGTTGGCCTATTCTTTTGGGATACTATTGTAAATGATATATTTGATGAATGGAATGTTCTTTAATGATGAATCTATTTAGTTGCTTTCATGATGTGGATGATTTTTAGTTTGTAATGTCGTCCTGGGTCGGTTTTAAGGCGTTACAGTGGCGATGACACAATAGTGGTGATGATATATTTGTCCATTATGAGAAATTGATAAAATCTTTTTTGACTAATATTTTTTGCATTAACTGGTAAGTAAGTGGCTTGCTGCTTAAACTTTTAATCTATTTTTAAGAAGTGCTTGAAATATTATGTAAAATCCGGGTAGATTTAAACTTTTATGAATAAAGGGTAAAATGGTAAATTGTCACCATGATTCGGGTTGTAAATCTGAAATTTTTTGTAACTCGGATGACAAAACGGACCTCACCGTTGGATTCGTCTCGCGAAATCGAGTTACCACGTCAATTTTCGTCGAATTCTGAGATAGTCAAATTTTTTACGTTTTACGGAGCGATCGGGCTTCGGGTGACCTTGTACACGAATTTTTTTATAAAATTTTAAATTTTGGGCAATAAAATAAGATAAATTGAAATAAAAATATTTTAGATTTAAACCGGGGCGAGATTTAATTGTTCGGGACAAAAACGGACCCGGAATTAAAGATGAACATGTGGCCAATTGTGGGCCAAGTGTTCTAAAGTATAAATAGGGGAAAAAATCAGATTTTTCCCCCATTGTTCAGCAGCCTCTTCAGCCGATAGAAAGGAGAGGGAAAGGAGAGGAAAGCTTCAACTTCTCTCTATGATCTACATAATTCTAGTGCTCAAATCCGCTTGGACCAAGAACAAAGATCGTTCTCCTCGTCAAGGGCTACGTCTACGTACCAAAAGGAAGTGATTTCACCGAAAAATCAAAGGAAGAATTTTTGGAGATCAAAGCTTTTGGGTTGGTTTTGGTGTTTTAGGGGTTTTCTACACTCCTAAGAGGTAGGGGTTATTCCTACTTTGGATTATTCTTACCTTAGGTGTTGCTAGACTAAGGGTGAAAATTATGTATATGCATATGTATTGTTATACATATATGTCTATGGGTATGAAAGTGAAAAAAATTAGCATAGGAATAGCTTAGGCTAGCTTCTAGCTTGAATTTGGTATATGGAGGTTCCATGTGATTATTTTGTAACTTGGTGAAAACTTAAGGCATGCTATGTGTTTTATAAACTATGCCTTGGAATGTGTTATGTGAATACATGACT